GAGGGAGAAAGACAGATACTGGGTGATCTTGTTCTTATATGGAATATAGATACACAAAACAAAGGAATTGACAAGAGGATGCAGAATGCAGGTGCCATCACATGGCAGCAGTGGTGATTTACATACTTCAAAAAATCTCACACACTTCATTTTAATTTTTATTGCTATTGTTGTATATCAGCTTATCTTATTATTTGAAAACAAGTATAATTATATTGCTATCTCAGCATAATCAAAGACAGTGACTAACACCATTTCTATAGCACCAAGTATAATGTCATATACAGATGGGAATCTAATACTTTGTTATCACACTAATGGTTATCTGGAATCAGGTCATATTATATCCAGCATGAAAATATGCTATTTTAGTAAGTTAGAAAATATGCTATTTTACTAAGTTAGAAAGTAGGCCACCAATATATCTCTCAAAATGTATGATGTCTTCTTATAATAGAGTGACATAGAAATGCTGTATACAGTCTTCTCAGAAACTGGTATAAAACTAAGAACATGATAGTACTTAATGCTTGAACTCTCAAATTTTTTATTGGTAAAAAATAACTAAAAGTAGTTAAATGATGGTCATTTCTAAGACGCTGTAAGTTTTGAAATCCAGTATGAATTTAGAGGAATTGATGGTCAGTTTTATTGCCTTATCCTTATCAGAAAAACAACTTTTACTCCAGGGAGTTAATAAAATTTCTGTTACAAAATATTATTGCAAGAGAGACAGAATGTGAGAAGAGCAAATACTTTGGACTTAACCAGCCATAGGATTGAAACTTAGCCCTGTCATTTACTAGCTTTGTGATTATAAGTAATGTTGAACCACACTGCCTCAGTTTTCTGTTCTGAAAAATGGGAGTATTGGAAAAGTGTTGGTGGGGGGATTTGGTAAGAATTAATTGAATTAACATAAGAAATAGAAGATGAGTAAATTCTGGGAATATAATGCATTGTATCGTGGTTATGGTCAACAATATTGTGTTATACACTTAAAAGTTGCTAAGAGATTAAGTTGCATGAGTTCTTTGCAGTTCATGGTCATTAGCCCCTTGTTGCATGTATGATATACATTTTTTTCCTATTCAGTTGTGTATTCTCTTTTTCTTTTTTTTTCCTTTTTTTTTAAGATTTATTAATTTATTTGTACAAGAACCGTGGTACAGGTCAGATGCGTAGGAAGGTAGGAGGATTCACCAGAGACAGAGCGGGGAACAGAACAGGCAGACTGACGAAATACACTGCTGAGGGGAGCAGCGCATGTGACAGGAGAGGTCTGCCACGCCATGTGGGACCCTCGCCGGCCGGCCGGGATTGAACCAGCGCTGCAGAGGGTGTGGACAGCTTCACAGCGCGGCGCTCAAGCGCCTGTACCACCAGGGGAGGACCTTTTTTCCTTTTTTCCTTTTTTAAAGATTTATTTATTTATACAAGCACTGGGGTACAGGCCAGAGGCGCGGGAGGGTGAGAGAATCCACCGGAGACAAAGAAGGGAGCAGAACAGGCAGAAGGACCGAAATACACTGGTGAAGAGGGCAGCAGGGGAGACAGGAGAGGTCTGATGCGCCATGTGGGAATCTCCATGGCTGGCCAGGAATTGAACTGGCGATGGGGAGGCTGCAGACAGCCTTGCAGCACTGCGCGCAACCCACTTCGCCACCGGGTAGGCCCTATTTTCTTTTTAATGATAGTTTCTTTCACTGTGCAGTAACTTTTTAGTTTGATATAGTCCTATTGTTAATTTTTGCCTTTTTTCCCATTGCTATTAGAATCTACTCATCAAAGACACCTCTGAAACTTATGTCGAGGATTTTTTTTTTCCTAAGTATTTTTGGCTAATAGTCACAAAGTGAAAAGAAATAACCCAATCAAAAAATGGGCAAAGAGCTAAATAGACACTTATCCAAAGAAGACATACAAATAACCACCAGGCACATGAATAAATGCTCATCATCACTTATCATGGAAATGAAAATTAAAACAATGGCATACTGTCTCAAACCTGTAAGAATGTTTCCTATCAAAGAGACCAGAAATACGTGTTGGTAAGGTGTGCAGAAAAAGGAATTCTTGTACAGTTTGTGGAAAGGTAGACTGGAAAACAATATAGAGGTTTATCAAAATATTAAAAATGGATCTACCATATGATCCTACAATCTCATTCCTAGATACATACCCAAAGAATACATTACTAATTTGAAGGGATATATGGACTCCTAAGTTCAATGCAGCACTATTTACAATAGCCACATTATGAAAACAGACTGTCCAATGACAAATGAATGGATAAAGATGTGGTCTATATGCACAACAAAATATTAATTAGCTATGAAAATACATGTTATATTTCTGTTTGAGGCAACATGTGGAATCTGGAGGAAATTAAGCTAAACAAAATGTCAGAAGGAAAAAGATAAACACCAGATTATTTCACTCATACTTGGAATCTAGAGAAAGAAAATGAAAGACAAAATTAAACCAAAATAAACCATAGAAATCTGACTGTTTCATTGGGGCTACCATTGGCAGAGGGAGGAGATGGGGAATAAAGAGATGAGAGTAGCCAATGTACTTTGGTGGAAGATTATGAACGCTTTGGTGCTGAGTGTGGTATGGTAACATACATGTGGCCAGGTGTGAACCTGTACCTCCAATTCGCATACATTGTTGTAAACCAAGGTTACCTCATTAAAAAGAATGGTTTAAAAATGACATTAGATCTTAAGTGCTCTCAACATAAAATAGAAAGTATAATTAGGCGTGATGGATATGTTAGCTAACACTATGGTTATAATTATATTTAAATATATCATATCAACAAGTTGGGTAGCTTAAACTTACATAATGTTAAATGTTAATTATATCTCAATAAATATTTGGAACTTTTGGAACTAAAGGGGAAAAAATCGTGTTATACTTGGCTCATAGTAACTGGCAGCTTAATCTTATTGTTATTTTTTAGAGTTAAGTTTAGTCTTATTTATACATTGCTTCTGGTTAGTAAAACCATGAATTCAGTAAAACCATGCATTTTTCCATTGATTCCCCAATAAATTATACCTATGCTATATTGAAAGAAATTAGCACTACGGATCCTGGTTGAAGACCAATTCTCATGGTATATATCCCACCAAAAACATTAAAATTTTATATGAGAAGAGACAAAGTGCATTAATCAGATTAATTTAACATACTGATATGTTCTAAAATTTTCCTCTTTAATTTTTATACCCCCTTTCTTCCAAAATAAAGCCCCACTAGGCTTGAGCTTCTAGGAATGTAAAAGAAGAGAAATAAGGTTGTTACCAAAATGACTGCTATATTATATTGAATTTCACTGTAAGGCTAAATTGGAAACCCATTGCTCCTAAGATCATCTTTGGCCCATTTTTATTGTCCAGTAAAATTAATCCATAATTTCATTTATTTGATAATTTATGTATCTCAAATATATATGTAGATAAATCGATAGGTAGGTAGGTAGGTAGGTAGATAGATAGATAGATAGATAGATAGATAGATAGATAGATAGATAGAATAGTTATAACCCCACCTATTTCTAAGAGATGGGGGGTTCTTATGATCAAAGTGAAGGTACAATTATGACAGGGTGAAGGAGAAAAAAATAGTAGGACATGAGAGGACATTCAACAAGCATCTTTCTCTTTTCTCCCTCCTCCCTACTTTTTTTAATTGCTTACTCTTTGTTCTATCTCTTTACTTCAGTTCTGCTGATAATGCCTGGAGTCTGTTAGCATCTTCACTTAACTAAAGAAGTGGTACATAGGCTGAGACCATCCAAACTTAATTCTAAGAACTGCTTTTCATGGTAAATTATTTAGAGCAAGATGAAATGAGAAGTCTGGCTTAAATATAGAAGGGCATAATCTTTAGCAAGCACAGATTACAATGGTCAGTACTATGAAAATTAGAATTTGTTTTCATTATAACAAAAGAATACAGATCCCTGTTTCCAGAAATGGGATTCTGACCTGTAATGGTTTTCTAGTTTTAGTGTGCAAGTTATCAGTAGGGTTAAGCATTCTTTTTTTCCTAAGTTTATTTATTTATTTATTTATGTATTTCGTCTCTGTAAATCCTTTTTTAATTTAAATTTTATTTTTATATTCCCCATACAATTACAACCCCCTTATTTTGACCCCAAGTCCTCCTTTCCCCGCCCCCCAGGCCCCATAGAGTGTCTCTGGTTCATAGTTGTTGATTTTATTTTCTTTCTTTTTTTTTTTTTTTTTTATTTATTTATTTATTTATTTTATTTGTTTGTTTTGTTTATACATGCACTGGGTACAGTCAGAAGCGCGGGAGGGTGAGAGAATTCACCAGAGCCAGAGTGGGGAGCAGAGCAGGCAGAAGGACTGAAGTACACTGCTGAGGGGAGCAGCGGGTGGCAGGAGAGGTCTGCGCACCATGTGGGATCCTCCTCCGGTGGCCGGGGAGCAGCCGGGGATCGAGCCGGCGCCGCAGAGGCCGTGGGCAGCTTCGCAACCCAGCGCTCAACCGCTGCGCCACCGGGGAGGCCCAGATATTTTCTTTCTTATAGTTATTCTTTTTCCTGGTCCCTTATTTAAGTTTTCTAGATTCCTGCTATGAGCGAGACCATCCAGTATTTTTCTTTTTCTTTCTGGCTTATTTCGCTGAGCATGATCCCTTCCAGCTCCATCCATGTTGCTGCAAATTGCATGTGTTTATTTTTTTGAATGCTGAGTAATATTCCTTTGTGTTTATGTACCACATCTTCTTGATCCAGTCATCTATTTTTGGGCATTTGGGTTGTTTCCAAAGCTTAGCTATTGTAAATAGTGCTGCTATAAACACAGGGGTGCAGGTGCTCTTTGGAATTGATCATTCTTCTGTAGAAACTACTTATAATCAAAGTATGCATATTATGAACACCTGCCTCCTCATCCCTCCTCTGCCCCAATCCAGAATTAGTCAGTAAGAACCACCTACCTGCAATTCCTGAAGACACTCACCTGTGTTAGAAATGAGATCATCAGGCTCTGATTCAGTCCCATTTTGGCTTCCATTTCCCTGAAGTGTGTTCATGGCCACAAGCTTCATTTTCTGCAACTTCATTGCCTCAACCATTGCAGCAGCTGTTATACCTATAACCAGAATCATTCCTTTAAAAACACGGACTATTTCTAAATGTATCTAAAAGCTGGATAAATATCCTTAACAGGGCTGCACAATACATGCCAAAAAGACCAAAGTTGAATTTATGAATAACTTTTTAAACAAAATAAATTGTAGGCCTTCATTTTCTATTAATTTATCTATTTGTTTATTTTTATTGCAGAAACATTGGTTTATATCATTGTCTGCATTTTGGCACTATGGAATTTCCCCATTCTGAGGCTGTTACCATAACACTCCCAACACCAAAGGACGCATAGTCCACCACAGAGTCCATTTTCTCCCTCCCCACTTTGGACTTGGCCTCCACATTCCCCTCTCCCACTGAATGTCTCAATTATATAGTATGTTTCCAAGGGCTATTTTTTAGGTTTGGCTTATCTGACCCTTTGTCTTTTGTCTCATTTCTCTATATTCCACATATAAGTGACAACACCACTATAATTATTTCATCCTATAATGGACAGTTTGAAAATCTAAAAAAAATACATAGGTTATGTTTCAAAATTCAAAACAAAACAAAGAGAGTAGTATGCAAATTGTTTTAAAAATTCCAAGAATACTTAATATATGCTGATGTCTTGAAAGAGTTCTGCACAGTTGTTTTATTTTTATTTTTTTAAGATTTATTTATTTATTCATTCAAGCACTGGGTACAATCAGAAGCGTGGGAGGGTGAGAGAATTCACCAGAGCCAGAGCAGGGAGCAGAACAGGCAGACCGAACTGTCTTATTTCACTGAGCATAATTCCTTCTAGTTCCATGCACGTTGCTGTGAATGACATGAGTTTATCTTTTTTGGTTGCTGAATAATATTCCATTGTGTATATATACCACATCTTCTTGATCCAGTCATCTATTTTTGGGCATTAGGGTTGTTTCCCAGTTTTACCTACTGTAAATAGTGCTGCAATAAACATAGGGGTACAGGTGCTCTTTTCAATCACTGTTTTTGTGTCCTTTGGGTAGATCCCTAGTAGTGGAATTGTCGGGTCATATGGTAGCTCCATTTTTAGTAGACTGAGAAACCTCCAGACAGCTTTCCATAGTGGTTGGACCAGTTTGCACTCCCACTGGCAATGTAGGAGAGTTCTTTTTTCTCCACATCCTTGCCAATATTTGTTGTTGCTAGTTTTTTTTTTTTTTTAATATGTGCCATTCTCACTGGTGTAAAGTGGTATCTCATTGTGGTTTTCATTTGCATTTCCCTGATTATGAGGGATATTGAACATTTTATCACATGCCTGTTGGCCATTTGCATTTCCTCTTTGGAGAAATGTCTTTTAAGTTCTTCTGCCCATTTCTTGACTGATTTTTTATTTTGTTTTTGTTGAGTCCTATGAGTTCTTTGTATATCTTTGTGATCAGTCCCTTATCAGTTGACTGGAGTGTAAAATTTTTTTCCCAGTCATTGGGGTCTCTCTCTATTTTGGTTAACGTCTCTTTTGCTGTGCAGAAGCTTTTAAGTTTGATGTAATCCCAGGTGTTTATCTTTTCCTTGACTATCTTTGTTTTGGGTGATGAAGACTTCATATATTCTTTCTACCCTTTTACCCTCCTCATTCTTATACACTGAATGATCAAATTAATGAAAACAAGTGATGCAAGTATGAAAAAGTGTTGGTCCCTGCTATAAAATTATATTATTTTGCATAAATATAATGCAATATGTACAAAGAGATAGAAATAAGGGGAAACAGAGAACATATGAGTGTTTATGTTTGAAATCCTTTCTCCTGGAAAGTCTATATAAGGTAGTGCCATAAACAAGTACTAAACATAGAATAATCTATTCTCCATCATTGTTCTAAAAAAAAAAAAATTCTAGTGAATTCAAATAATTTTATATACTATCAAAATCCTTAACCACCTAGTGGTATACTAGTGCCATTGCCCCACCAAAAAAAAATTCTTGCAGGTTTAAAACAATATTCAGTGAAAGTCATTATCCCAATGGAAATGTAATTCAAGGAAGATAATATTTGAATTGAATAAAAATATTTGGAATTTAGAAAAAAATTGAATATTTGTATATATTTTATTTTTTTTCACACTTTCCAAGAAATTTATTTTAGTATGTGCCATATATTGATATAGTAATTTTATATTATGAGAAATCAATGTAGAAATAACACTGTGCCCTCACAAGAAAATAAAGAAAAGGTAGTAAGGAAATTCTTACTTATAAAGACTTTTGATCTACATCATTTTTTTTCAAAATAAAAAACCCCTTAATATTAAAAGCAAAGAAAACCAAAAAACAGAAGACTAAGGAAGGATAAAGAATTGCTCTATGCAGATGATTTGCATATGTAGTATACATGTATAGGATTAATTACAATAAAAATACTTATGTTTTATATGGTCAATTCTCATATAGAGTCAGAAACAGCAATTTCCAATCAAGCACGATTGGACTGACATTTTCTCAGTCTTCAATTACATGACAAATTACAGCTGTGTAGCAGTCATTTCTGGTTAGCAGTATCATGATAAATGCTTGATAAGTTACAGTTTTTCTCCTTGTTCACTTGTAAAAATTGGTGCTTTTTTGTAATGTTCTACAAGTTCTTCCATGGTGCTGAATTTACGCTGCCCAATGCAGTAGACAGTCTCTTTTAGTTGGACTTTAAAATGATTGTTCTTCCCTTGTGCTTTTAGTGATACTGAGAAATCATTTGGCGAAGATTCACTATCACGAATGAGGAAATCACCTTCATGCCCTCTTTCATTTAATGCCATTTCTGCTTGATGTCTGGTGACTTTTCCATAATACCATGGATTGCCAGCAAACTTTCCAGTGAGTGAAGGCCTGATGTAATCACACTGTGGGGGTGATGGTTCCAAAACTGCAGTTAATGGATTATTTTGCATAATGGTAACATATTTTTTTGGCACCAGACCAATCATTCCGTTGATCTTCCGACATTTCCACCACTCAGGGTCATTTTCAGGTTTTTCAATAACATCCATTATATCTCCTTTCTCAAAATTAAGTTCTTCATCATTGGACGAGCTGAATGGATAGAGAGCCTGGACCACATGCAGTACTTGCCCAGTATTGAGGTTATTGACGACAGCTGCTAATTTCTCTGACAGAGAACCCACATGGTCACCCAAAGGACTGTCTCCTTCCTCAGTCACATAATTTGAAGGGAACCATCCAACTTGTCCATTGTAGCTACCCCGCCACCACCCATCACTGCATTTCTCCATGACGATCACCTTCGTCCCTTTTATCAATGATAATTCATCCTCTCTCTCTGCCATGTAGTTAAATTTCACATAAGCAGGCATGTTGAGGTCATAGAGACGTTCCCCTGGGTCAACAAAGCAATCATCAGCAGGAGATGCAGAATCTGGCACACTAGGTTTTCTTTTCACTTTTCCAATACCTAAGGTATCCTTTAGGTTTTTTACAATGGATGCTTTCCGAGCACTGTTTTTCCTTTCCACATAGTTAGATGGCACAAAACCTGTTTTATTCATGGAATTTCGAACTCGCCAGCAGGACTTAGAATCATCCAGAAGCCATAATCTCTCATTCTTCTTGATGTCCAGCTCTTGTTCTTGTTGGGCCACATAATCAAATTTGGCTACTACCACCACTTCCTCTGCCATCTTCAGCAGCTTCAGTACTGACGAGGGCACCGGGACGCCGCCGCGGACGCCGCGATGGCCGTTAGGCACCTGAATATTTGTATATATTTTAAAAGAATATTTGGGGCCTCCCTGGTAGCGCAGGTGGTTGAGCGCTGCGCTGTGAAGCTGTGTGCAGCCTCTGCAGTGCCGGTTCAATCCATGCCAGCTGTGGAGCAACCCACATTGCACGGCAGACCTCTCCTGCCTTGACCGCTGCTCACCTCCGCAGTGTATTTCGGTCAGTCTGCCTGTTCTGTTCCCTAATCTGTCTCTGCTGAATCCTCTCACCCTCCCGCACTTCTGGGTATGAATAAAATAAATCTTAAAAAAGGAATATTTGCTATCGCAAAAAAATAAAAAAAAACCTTTTTATTACTTAAATACTCAATTTTATATTTTCACCCTAGGCCAAGACAAATCAAAATTTGTTTTAAAATGAACCATCATTTTCTTTGCCACATAAAACTATCATAAAATTAAAAAATAATAGTAAATAAGTAAATAAATAATAAATAAAAACATAATTGCCAGTATTAGAAGAACCTGACATTAAAGGTACAGTAAATTTTTACTAAGGTGTAAGGGAAAGAAAGTGTAACCTAGAATATCTAACTTGTGTTTGTTTTGGGGAATCATAAGGTTTTACTTTGACACTCTATGCTTTTTGACATATGGAGAAATCAACATGAAGCAAATTTTTCACATTACCTTGCCTATGAGTCATTGCAAAGAAAGTATCTGAAAGAAAATTGTTTTATTCTTTTGCAGTTTTCCTGGATGGTACTGGAAATTTTCATGCCATACTTAGATTTTTTGAATTTCAATCCCCAAAATGACTTATCAGGCACCTAAGTAAAAAATATGATGGCAATTATTTATAAAAAGGGACCCTATTTAGGACTGCTAGAGTTGAGTGTCTTTTTTTTTTAATATTTATTTGTTTATGCATACAAGAGCTGGGGTACAGGCCAGAGATGCAGGGGGGTGAGAGGATTCACCAGAGACAGAGTGGGAAACAGAACAGGCAGACTGACTGAAATACACCCTGAGAGGAGCATCAGGCAAGACAGGAGAGGTCTGCTGTGCAATGTGGGCTGCTCCCTGGCCAGCCAGGGATCAAACTCGTGCTGCAGAGGCTGTGGATTGCTTCATAGTGTGGTGCTTAACCCCTTGCACCACCAGGGAGGCCCAAGAGTTGAGTGTCTTATAACCAAAAATGCATTAGGCAAATTTTATAGAATTTACATCAGAAGCTCTGGAAATTCAGAACAAGATCCTAACATTAATAATTATTAAATAATTAGTTGTAATGTTATTGGCAGTGCAAACACTACATTTTGTGAACATGCAACTCCTACTCTGTGATAAATAAAAGTTGGCGGAATATCTTTGTTTGTCCTAAACTTATGTTTTATATTTTCTTTCTTTTTTTATTGAGGTGACATTGGTTTACAACATTTTTTGTGTGTGATTTAAGATACAGGTTCTCATCCTTCAGAAATTGCTACCAAACTACACCCACCATCAAAATGTTCATAGATCTACACCACAGTCCATTGTGTTCCCTCTTCAATTTGGTCTTTTCTCTTCCTCCACTCTTCTTCTAGTAGTCTCAGTTCTATAGTCAGATTTCTAAGGTTAGTCATTAGTTTGGCTTTATCTGAATCTTTCTTTGTTTTCTTATCTTCCACATAAAAGTGACACTACTGGTATTGGTCTTTCTCCTTCTGTCTTATTTTGCTTAGCATAACCCCCTCTGTTTCATCCAGGTTGTCACAAATGGCAGTATGTTGGCTTTTTTTTTTAATAGCTGAGTAGTAAGTCATTGTGTGTACATAACACCTCTTCTTGATCCAATCATGTACTTTTTTGGCATTTAGGTGTTTCAATAGCTTGGCTATTGCAAATAGTGCTGCAATCAACATAATTCCCTTCAAATCAGTGTTTTTGTATTCTACAGGCAAAGTGGAATTCCTTGGTCTTATGGTAGACTGGCTTTTAATATTTTGAAAAATATCTATACTGTTTTCCTCAGGGACTGGATCAGTCTACATTCCCACCAACAGTGAAGAGGGACCTGTTTTCTCCACATCTCTGCCAACATTCATTGTGTCTGGTCTTTTTGACATGGGCCATTTTCACAGGTGTCAGGTGGTATCTCAGTGTTTTAATTTGCATTTCCCTGATGATAAGTGATGATGAACAGTTTATCATATGCCTGCTCACCATCTGTATGTCTTTGGATAAGTGCCTATTTAGCTCTTTGATCATTTTTTTTTTCCATTGGATAATTTCTTCTCTTTTGTTGTATATCTTCTTTGTAGACCTTGGATATCAGATGTATGTTCGGCAAATGTTTTCTCCCATTCAATAAGGCGTCTTTTTCATTAGTTTCTATCACTGTTATTATAGAAGCTTTGTAGTTTAATGTAGTCCCAATTGCTTACATCCTCTTTTGTTTCCATTGCTGTTTGAGATGAATCCACAGACATCTCTGAAACATATGTTGACAAGTGTTTTCCCTATGTTAACCTCTATGAATTCATCAATTCTGAGGTAATTTTTGTGCATAATAAGTGAGACTGGTATAGTTTTATTATTTTGTATGTGGTTATCCAGTTTTCCCACCACCATTTATTGAAAAGACTCCCCCCAATATATATATATATATATATATATATATATATATATATATATATATATATATATATATGTGTGTGTGTGTGTGTGTGCGTGTTTATTTCTGGGCTCTCAACTATATTCCATTGCATTGTATATCTGTTTTAGTCCCAGTACCATGTCATTTTGATTATTAGAGTTGGAGTGTGATAGCACTATTCTGCTTTTATGTTTTGCTTATTTGAGGTTCTTATGTGGTTCCGTACAAATTTCAGAAATGTTTCTTCTACTGGGCTGTCAGAAAAGTCATGAAATATTTTTTTCTTTTTTTCAAGCAAAAATGCATAATGACTTTTCTGACAACCTAGTATTTCTTAGAAGAATTCCATTGAAACTTTGATAGGGATTGCATTAAATCTGTATACTGTTTTAAGTAAGGTGTCCATTTTGATAATGTTTATTCTAATCCAGGAGCAGGAAATATCTTTTCATTTCTTTCTGTCTTCTATTTCTTTTAACAATGCTTTCATTGTATAAGTATTTTACCTCCTTTGTTACATTTTAAAGTGTTTAATTGTTTTGACTATTGTAAATGGGATTGTTTTCTTGAATTCTTTTTTCCCCAACTCATTATTTGCATATAGTAATACAACTGATTTTTTAATATTAATTTTGTAATCTGCCACTTTACTGAACTGACTTATTGTTTCAATTAGTTTTTTTTTTTTTTTAGTGGAGTCCTTAGAGTTTTATGTAAATTATCATGCTGTCAGTAAATACAGAGAGCTTTAATCCTTCATTCTCAGTCTGGATTGCTTTACATCTTCTCTTGCCTAATTGCTCTAGGAAAAGCTTCCAATATTGTGTTGAGTATTGGTGGTAAGGGTAGACATGCTTTTAAAGATCTTATTTGAAAGGATTTCAGTTTTTCACCATTAAGAATGAGGTTTGCTGTGGGTTTGATATATGTGGTCTTTATTATGTTGAAGTTTGTTGCATCTATCTAAAAGTATTTGTGTTTTTTTAATCATAAATGGATGTTACATGTTATCAAATATTTTCTTGTCATCTATTGATATGATCAAATGATTTTTCTTTCCTTTCATTGATACAGTGAATTATGTTAAATTACTTTCAGGTATTGAACCATCCTTGTGTCCCTGGAATAAATCCCATGTGATCATGGTGCATGATACTTTTAATGCAGTATTGAATTTGGTTTGCTAATATTTTGTTGGGGATTTTGGCATCAGTGTTCTTGGAAATTGGTCTGTAGTTTACTTTCTTTCTTTTGTTGTCTTTGTCTGGTTTTGTTAATCAGAGTGATGTTGACAAAATATATCTGGAAGTATTTCCTCTCTCAATATTTCTAGAGGAGCTTGAGACAGATAACATAATCTCATCTTGAAGGATTTTTATTTTTATTTTTTTAAAGATTTCTCTTTATTTACACAAGAATCGGGGTACAGGCAAGATTCATGGGAGGGTGAGAGGATTCACCAGAGACAGAGCGGGGAACAGAACAGGCAGACTGACTGAAATACACTGCTGAGGGGAGCAGCGGGCGAGACAGGAGAGGTCTGCCATGCCATGTGGGACCCTCGCCGGCCGACCAGGATCGAACCACACGCTGCAGAGCTGCGGACAGCTTCACAGTGCTGCACTCAACTGCCTGTGCCACCTGGGGAGGCCCTTGAAGCATATTTAGAACTCACTAGTGAAGCCATCTGGATGTGAACTTTTGTTTTTTGAGAGACTTTTGATTACTGTTTCAATTTTCTTGCTTTCAATTTGTTCAGGTTTACTATTTTTTGTGATTCAGTCTCAGGTGGTTATATATTTCTAAGATTTGTCCACCTGTTCTAGGTTTTTCAATTTACGTACATACGTTTATAGTAATCTCGTATAATCCTCTGAATTTCTTAGATATCTGTTGTAATTTTCTTTCACTTCTGTTCTACTTATTTGAGTTTTCTCCGTTTCTTTCTTTGTGAGTCTAGCTACAGGTTTGTTTATTTTGTTTGTTGTTTTTCAAAGTACCAGTTTTTGGTTCATTTATTTCATTATTCTCTTGGACAGTCTTTTTGATTTATATTTCACTTATTTCTGCTCTAGTATTATTTCGTTCCTTCTACTGGCATTGTTTTTATGTTTTCATCTTTTTCTAATTCCTTAAGGTAAGAGGTAAGATTATTTATTTGAGCTCTTTCTTGTTTCCTGATGTGGGACAGTGTTGGTATATACTTCCCTTTCCTTTTTCTCAAAGTATATTTTAAATTTCTCTTGATTTCCTCCTTAATCCAGTAGTAATTCAATAGTGTGTTGTTAAGTCAGAACATATTTTTCCCTTCGCTTTCATTTTGTGTTTAATTTCTTGTCTGATACCATTGTTATCAGAAAAGATGCTTGGTATGAGTTCAATA